TAACGTATATTTTATAAGATGGTACTGTGTTTTACCTTTAGTATTTAAGACTATAACATGTAAGGTAAGATATGACTATCAAGTGTAAGGTAAGATATGACTATCAAATGTAAGGTAAGATATGACTATCAAATGTAAGGTAACATATGACTATCAAATGTAAGGTAAGATATGACTATCAAATGTAAGGTAAGATATGACTATCAAATGTAAGGTAAGATATGACTATAACATGTAAGGTAAGATATGACTATAACATGTAAGGTAAGATATGACTATAACATGTAAGGTAAGATATGGCTATAACATTTAAGGTAAGATATGCACAAAGTAATAAATGAATCAAGTGACATCTTTTTTTTTCTTTTCTGATATTGCAGTTGAAAATTTTAAGCAAACAAAAGCATGATAATTTGACAGTGAAAAAAAAAAGGAAAATAAAAATGAGATTAAATTTGTATGCCTTAGCTAGGCTTAGACGAGGAATAGAAGAATGAAGAAGTGTAGAGAACGGATGGAGACAAAATTGAATTTTTATAAGCTTATCAGACTGATAATTGTAATTTCTACAGGCTTATCAGACTGATAATTGTAATTTCTACAGGCTTATCAGACCGATAATTGTAATTTCTACAGAATTATTAGAATAAAAGAAATGACAACTTTTAATTTGCAAAACTTCTGCATGAAGCATTTTTTACACTCAATTCAAACATATTCTTTCTCCATTTTTTTTTTTTAAAGAATTGCCGTACGATTTTACACTTAGTGCATTCAACTCATCATACTTCAGGGAGGGTAGAAACGTGACTGCATTCAACTCATCATACTTCAGGGAGCGTAGAAACGTGACTGCATTCAACTCATCATACTTCAGGGAGCGTAGAAACGTGACTGCATTCAACTCATCATACTTCAGGGAGCGTAGAAACGTGACTGCATTCAACTCATCATACTTCAGGGAGCGTAGAAACGTGACTGCATTCAACTCATCATACTTCAGGGAGCGTAGAAACGTGACTGCATCC